ATGTTATTGCTAAATGTAACCTATGTAAAAACTTATACTATTAATGCAATGGTTGTTGTACTTTGATTACCATACTGCATGTGTTGTGATACTTGACATGACGTCCTCCACCCCAGAATGTTTCCGCCGTTCCGGTTTTGGGGTGTGACATAATGTGTGGCCATGATGCCTACAAAAACCACATGATTGTATCAGGGACTTGGAACCATTAACATTCATTTTCGATAGTGTGTGTGGTAATCATCGTTTGTCGAACATAATAGCCAAGTTCACAAAAAAAATGTTTACCATGAAAACACTATTTGGAAAGTTGTAAAAGCTTATAGAGTGATCCTTGAGTTCTTTCTAATGACCATGAAACATTGGTGTTATAAGCGTTGAAATAAAACTAAAATAATTAACAAGAACATACAATATATTAGTATTTCTTCCCTTTAGCATAAAATGAAACTAATAATAAAATTTTGTTACTTTATGCGGTGGAGGTAACAACCAAACTAAGAACATGAGTAGATAAAAAGCTTGGGAAGTAAGCAAGAAAGAATACGAAGTGGAGGTTATGTTTGGTTGCAAATGAAAATTTCAACATAATACATGGTTAAAATGTTTTTTTTTTGTTGATATAGGGGCTATAACTTGCACATGTCTATCATGGAAGATGTATGGCATCCTGTACAGTCATCTCATTACGATGTTAAAATATTTAAAATATGATGATTGTTTCAAAATGTCTATCAGAGCCTACAACATTGACTCATATCAAAAAGCATACGATGATGAAGTGAACCATCTACATATCCTTTATTATTGGGAGAATCCACAGGGTTTGGTGAATGTCAGACCGCCAATAATTGGCAAACAGCAGCCTGGCAGACCCAAACGGACTGACCATATTCCTCCACAAGGGAGGGGCCAATAATTAAATGTTGTTCTTGATGTAACGAAATAGGCCATTCTAGCAGAGACTGCACCAAATTTTCCTCATCCAAAAAATAAACAATACGCAGTGGAAAATCAAGTAAGAAATATGCATCAAGTCTGAATCGTCATTCTGGTAGCAAGTCACAAAGCCATATTGTTTTACCAACATGTGATTTGTATACCTTATTATAGGAACATGTCTTGTGTTTATTTATTGGCGTGACTAATATTTTTGGCTTTTCGTTATGTTCTTCTTTATGTTATTAAATACTAGTGAAACAAAATTTTTCATTACAATATATAGAACTAATTAAGACAATTTATATAACATAAATAAATTAAAAACAAACATATATAGAACTAATTAAACGACCCCAATACTGATTAGTCCTCATCGTCTGCAATATGTCATTCAGGGAACATATAGGTGAAGTTTTTTTCTTTGAAAGCTAGTGCTTCTGCAACCCGTACATAATATTTAGTTTCTGCTATGGACTCATTTGCATCTTTTATCCATGTTAGTTTTTCCTTAATTTGATCTTCTATATAACCTAGTCCTTCCCTTGTAACAAACATATTTAAATAGTGGTTTTCAATTTCTTTTTCTTTGGCTAATATAGCATCCTTGACGTCATTATAACCCTTCGTGGTATAAGTTATTAATTGTTAGGATATCTGAAATATAGGTGATTTAAGAGAGCTTTTTTGCTGGAGAAAAAGACGAATACATGTTTTGGTATGAAATCGTTATCACTTACAGTCTTTATATAGAAATTTGATATAGTGGTAGGTGGTAGGTGTTATGCACTACTACAAAAAATACTCTTTAGTGACACGCATTGTGTGTCGTAAAGGCTAAAGATGACAAACAAATGTGTTTCAAGGAAGGTCATGTCATAAAGGAAGACAACACGCTTTTGTGTGTCGTAAACTTACGATGCGCATTTACGACGTGCATTTACGAAACACATTGGATGTCATTAAAGCCCCTTTCATAAAGGAAGACGACACAAATTTGCGTTTCGTAACCTTACGACGCAAATTTACGACTCACATTGTGTATTATTAAAGCCACTGTCATAAAGAAGACAACACACATTTTTGTGTGTCATAATTTTAAATGTTTTAAAAATTATACATTTTAATATATTTACTAATTTTCAAATTAAATAACACATTAAAAGTCTCATAATACAAAATAAAATACCATAAACAAGAAAAATAACTCATTGGACTAATATGTCAAATACGAATAATCATTCCAATTATAAGTAAATATAATACATTGCTAATATTACATAATATTTATTATTGAAAAACAAAACATGTACAACATTAAAAGGAACCCGTGAGTAATTTCTACTTTGAGAATCTCCATGACAGCTTTAAACCTTGCAACTTCATGAAATACAAAACAAACACGTGTTCTTACTATTTCTGTTGTTGGGATAGAAGAAGAAGTACTAGTATGATTAGAAGCTGATGCAGTTGTTAGAAGGGATTGCCACACGACTATTATGAAACTTTGATGTATTCTTGTCAGGTGGGAGTTTGTGGGTCACTTGAAATGAAGTTTGAATCGAATCAAGAGTTGTCCTAGCCCTAATTCCTACCATTGTCCCTAAATCCAATTAGTAAAGAAGATTATAAACAATATTGTAACTTTATAAGATCTCTTTGTTTTTATATAAAGTACAAATCAAATACTAATTCCCTTCCAATGTTGGGAGCCCACTCCACAATATATACTTGATCACCTTTATCATCAGTGTCTACTAGTTCACCAACTAGAATACACTATCTGACCTCAATTGTTATACTCCCTAAAAGTACATCAAAGTGAATAAAATCATCAGCATCAATTAATGTATGATCTCCCTCAGTTTCTAAAACAACATAGCTTCCATGATCAATAACCGCAACTTATTGATCATGTGAAAAAATATCACATAGGTCAAAATAGATGCAGACAAAAAAGATGCTTTTCCAAATTTTGTTAATGAGTAAATCCATAAAACCATAAATGACATTTTTACCCATGTTATTGCAATCCATCAAGTAAATTCATAAGAGGAAGCTTCCCTTTGTACAAGAATTTCAGCCATGCGGCCATAATCTAAAGACTTCAAGAGTAGGACTGCTAGATTCATAACATTACAAATAAACCATGAAAAAAATAAACTATATTTTGGTCCTTGATTTTAGCTGCTAATGTCGGTTTTTGTCCTAAAGAAATTTGTTTGCAACTTTGGTCCTTATATTAATGTTTTATAAGAACTGGGTCACCTCAATGTATCTACTGGTTAAAGAAATATGCCAAGTAAGTAGCTCATAAGTGGATAGATATATGGAAGCATATTGTCATCTAAAAAATCCTTTTCGTGGCCATTTCCTTGATGATCATCCAGATCAATTATCATAACCCTGCATGTAGCTTCAAGCGAGTCAATGCTTTTGATACCATTTGAATGTGATTGAATAGAAAATAGAAGAAAATAGACTGAATGATTGACTAAAAATGTATTGGATGGCTACAAACCCAATCCTTTAGCATTCAAGAGGCGAAGGTCTCTCCACAGTGATTTCTCACCAATTACAAAACAAGATAATCGTCCTAATAACCTTCACCTACTATTTATACTAGCATCTAGATGACTCTGCTGTCAAAAGACCAAACTACCCTTGACAGATCTATTGACTTTTTACTAAAGAGAATACTACAACAGTCGATAATTTTGCTAAGTCCTTTTGTTCTTTCTAGTATGAGTAAACCTTAAACGACGTTTACTAGTTTTATGATATCATTGGTAAAAAAAAAGTTACTCAATGGAGTCTATTTGTGGGCTTCTGGCTTGGGGACATTATCCCATATATGGGCTAAAGAACAGAGCATTATAAGTGTCGCAATTGTGTTAGCTTTGGGGTGATACAATAAATAATGAATAAATATTAACTGTAACTATCGTCTGGATATCTTCCCTCAAGACAGGTTCTAGGTTTACAAGGGGGCTCTATACAGAAACAAAAGGATAATTACATTAAATTCCTTTCAACTTTTTATTCTTTTAAAACATGTGTTGGATAACATAACTTACACTTGTTTTATCACGAATAACAAACATCAAAGTTGTTTTAAGTGGACTAAATAGTCGCAACATAACCTGAACTACAAAAGTTTAAAATTCAATATTTTGACATTAGTGAAAACAAATAAAAAGGCTAAAACAAATGTAAAGACAATGCACTTGGAATATAGTTTTTAGAAGAGGCTTGTTAGCAGCTTGTTCACGCCCAATATCATTACAGCACCAGTATAACAAAATGTACCCCATGGAAAGCAATTAAAATTTACAGAAAAAAACACAGTTTCATACTTTTATCAGGAAATGACAAGGCTTACATGTTGATAAGCTCTATATCCGAAACAAAAAGGGAAAAAAGTGAACTTTGCTTTTCAAATGCAGTATCATCCAGGAGAAGCAGAAAAATCTCAAAAATTATTTAAAAAGAGAAACAAAAGAATAAAATAAAATAATAAATACTAACCTCTCATCGCTCTCTTCTATCAGTACCTTCAAGATCCATTACTATGGTACAAGGTTCATTAGGAGAAAACGAGAATGGTGACACCTTATTGGTATTTTTAGTTGTAACACCAAACATTATTTGAACATTTTGAGTATATATATATATGATCTGAATGTAGGAATATGGGATCTTCCTCCTTTATGTTCTTTGTTTTGTTAAAGTTTGTAGTGTTTTTATTTTAGGGTTTAATTGTGATTTTTGAAATAACAAGGGAGATTTGAAAATTGAGGGGGTGAATATGTGAAATGATGTAGATGTTCGTGCTTGTTGCTAATATATAAGAAGAAAAAATATCAAGTTGGCCATTTTGACTTTTGTGGATGATTCTCATTGTCACTTTCAACATAGTTTCAATCATTTAAAATATCAAAATATTGATTTCTTGATTTAAATTATATTTTTAAGCAAGAGACATAAGAATTAAGACATAACTCATATTCTTCTTCTTCTCCATCTCCCTGGTCCTCCTTAGCATCTTGACCAACTTCCACTTAATCTTTCACAGGAGCAGCAAGATCCTCACGTGCTTCTGAAAACTTGCCTTCTTCCATTCCTTCACCAACATACCAATGCATAAATGCACGCTTTGAAAACATCAGGTCAAACTTATGGTCAATCCTATTGAACACCTCAGAAACAACTGTGTTGTTACTTATCATGCACACTGTACGACCTAGTTTTAGCAAGATTCCCTCCAGGCACCACCGTAGGTGGCTGGTAGCTTATCCAGTGGCGGATCCAGCCCGGAAGTTGAGTGGGTGCATAGTTGACCATTGACCAATTGAAATTAATAATAATGTTTTTTTACAAAAAAGTAGAATAACATTAAAACCTTCAACTAAATGTCATTTTACAGTTGAAATCTACGAGGACACATAGCTAAGAAACGTTTGATAATATTTTCATTTGTAATCTTTGAAAATCCCTCTCTTTCAACCGCACAAATGACACAATCATTTAGAAAATCATCCGAAATCCGATTCCGCAAATCCGACTTTACAAGCTTCATCACATAAAAACATCTCTCCACCGTTGCGGTTGCAACCGGAAAAACCAATGACAATTTCACTAAACGATAAATCAAAGGAAAGAATTGATGCATCTTGGTTTCCACCATCACTTTAGCAAGGTCGGGTATGTTCTTCAAAGTTGCAAATCTTCCATCTTGTTGTATATGATTGGGGTAAACCGAAAGTTCATTTAGAATATCCAACCTATCTTTATAGCTAAAATCATGTGGATAGAAATCGATCAACTTCCGTAACTTTGATGGGTAAAAGTCACAAAATGAATCATGTGGATTCAAACCCGTCATACAAATAAGCAATTCGGAGCTTACTTCATTAAAACGATCACCGAACTCTGGAATTTGCATATCCAAAACCATGTTAAAACAAAAAAACTCGTAATAACGATGATTGGAGATATCGGTATATAGTCTTCGGGCTCTTGGGTTAACATAAAATTCTTCCATGTTCAACATTTGAATGCCATTTTTCTCACAAAAAGAGGTGATATCCAATATTAGTGCATCAAACCCATCATTTCTCATCTTTTTTAACGTTGCAGTGGTTGATTTCACCAAACTTATAGCATTCATGATATCTTGATCCTTTCTTTGTAGAGCTTGCGACAATATGTTTGTGATCCCCAAAATTTTCAACATCAACTGCAAGTGGAATACGAAATCAAATGATCAAAGATATATTCGAAGACCACTTGCTTGACGTTGACTAAAACTATTAAGGCCTTCATCTTCAACATATTCAAGAACATCAGTAACAGTAACAGATGAAAATAAACCAACCAAACGTGATAGAGTTTTGTAATGAGAATTCCAACGTGTATCTCCGGCTCTAGTAAGAGAAAGTTATTGGTTTAATCCACTTCCAGTTTCAATTTCACCACGACCGATGGATTCTTCTAGTTTATCTTTTTGACTTTCGCGCATCATATTTGTACGTTTACAAGAAGCACACACAACATTCATTAGAACAGATACCATATCAAAAAAGACTCCAACATCGTGATGCTTTTTTGCAACTGCCACAATACCCTTCCATTCATTCCACCAAACAATTTCCTTTAAGGTATAAAGAGACATACCAATCAACAAACTGAATCGTTCCTTTATTCTTCATGGATCCAACAGAAGTATTGATATCTTTTGGAAGAACATATACACGATACATAAAACAACAAGCCATATACGTGTCATGCCTTGGATCATTTAGCCATCATACTTGCAGGCTCAAAGACAGCATTAGTGATCTTAGAAACGGAGCTTTGTTCATGGAAGTCTCTTGAAGTTGAGATGACAGGGGTTATTCATAGCATTGAAATCATAAAATTTGACGGTTTCTTCTTGTGGCTTACCCAAGCATCTCTCAAATACGTAGGAATTCTCGTTTTTTCCTCTTTGAATGTGCTCAGATGCAAAAAACACAAAAGATATGCAACGACTATCACTTATCAGAAGAGCATAAGTCTAACCCTTGAGCCCTTAAGTATTATGCAAGTTTTCATTTAAAATCAACGTACCTTGTGAACCAAAATTCATAATTGACCAACAACACCATCTTTTTAGCGATAAGTGTGTGTTTATAAGAGAGAGAGAGAGAGAGAGAGAGACAGAGAGAGAGGGAGACGAAGAAATAATGAAAGAGCATTGTCACAAACCTTTAAATGTGTCTCTTAAACTTTGATCCTTGTCTGAGTACATCCATGAGATGATTGCCATGACTTGCTGCTCAATCGTTAAATGAGGACAAGGGAGCATCAATCCTAAGACACAACATAACACAATAACCCTATTGATGTTCCCGATACCATAACTCTTGAGTTTCAAAACCTTCTATATGCTTTATATTGGCTCGTATGATTAGAACAATGGTGGTGGATGAAGCGTTCGTCGATAGGGCAGGTGCACCGCCACCGTGTGAGGCCAAAAGAGGTAGTGAGTGTTGGAGATGATGGTGGTGTGTTAGGGGTGGAGACGAAGAAGGTGAGATATGAGAGAATGATGGAAACAAATGTAGGAGAAGAAACATTGCAGATCAGTCCTCGTGACGATGTTGAAAAAAAAAGCCCTAGTTTTGTTCCCCATTTTGTAATAGGAACGCACGTTTAAAAATTATAAAACAACATGGTGTACACGACACGCGTTTATGATGGGTGCCTTTCGTGTTTTTGTTTTTATTTTTATTTTTTGTGAAACTAATTTTAGGGTATGCAAAAATGCGCGTCCTAAATCCTTCAAATTTTAGGAGAGATGACATTATTAAACCAGTACGTGTCATAGTCCGCGTGTCACTAAAGGCTTGTTTTCTAGTAGTGATGGTAGGTGGAAATTGAATAGATAAATGATAGTACAAAATATAATTTACTAAGTGTTTTGGTCAACAATTACTTACGTAACTTTGCAACCAAATTAGTAAGTGTTGTGTGATATTTTTAGATAAAGATTTTGAGAAAGTAAATTTTAAATTGTTGAAACTTGAAATGTATTGAAGATCTTGAATGTACCCAAGAGCTTAGGAATAAGACAATAATGTTAAGATTTGTTACAAAGAAAAAAAAAGCTAAAGATTGTTTAAAATATTCATTTGACCCAAGATATGGGTACGTATATACTTGGAAATTAGAGCAAAATAGTGTTTACGTTGTGAATTCGTAGAATATAGCAATAAGTCTTAAGATATTAAAAAAAAAGTCATGCTACCAAAGAATACCTTGATACTATAATTAAAAAAACAAACGATTATGGTCGAATAAAATTTTAGAAAAAGTTTGGTAAGTATAGAAATGGATCAGACTACAAACAATAAATAAAAATGGGTGCGAGAACACAATTATATACAAGAAAAAACCTAAATCTTTTAGCATCTCCAACATAAAACCTTGCTGGTGACAACACCACACTGTCTTAGAGCTTAAATTAATAAAAAAAAAATATAAGATTGCAGGTGCTAGTTGACTAAGTGTGAAGTGATTTTGTGCTTATGACCTTCCAGAGAGTAAGAAAGAGTGAGAGAGAGAGCGAACATGTGTGTATAATGATCAGCTAGTCGATTTATACACTGATAAGATAAAAAAAATTATCCTGTAATATAGGGATCTTCCTTTATTCTAGCTTAACCAGGTTTTTCTCACAGACTCAATGTCTTTTCTTATTGACTTCGTGCATACTGACTTGGTTCATGGCTTTCTTGAATAAGTCCTCGATACTGCATAGAATAATACAAGAAACATGATGGCAGTCCCAAGACATTGCCTCGTTAAATATCTTATGTCTGCACTTCGTCATAATCCAATGGGGATTTCTTTTCATCTATGTTAACCCATGTTTGTTTCATACTCATATATACCACTGTTTACATTTGAGATACTTTAGACTCCTTTATTATTTGATCATTTTTCTTTATTTCTAATTTCATTTGTTTTATCTGTTTCATTTTCTTATTTCTTATTATTTTATCTCCATCGCATCCTTTCGTGAACCAATATTGCGAGTATGTTTCTTTAGTTCTTCTTCTTTGGTCTCTACTTCCTTCTTCATTTTTTCAGACATCTTCCAAGGTCTGAATGTATTTTTCGAGCCGAAAGGGTTATTGATGGGATGATCAATTTTAGACCAGTCTTTTGAAGGAGAAGAGAACTATATTTTTCCAAGCAAAAATCAACTTATATTAATGCTAAGTAGTGAGAAAATTTGGTACGGAATCATTATAGTTTTATCATCTTTATATAGAATTATCTACATGTTTTAGGTGGCAAGTTAATGGTCATGTCAATTTGACTATGAAAAATTACACTTTAACTATGAATTTCATACATTTAAAAATAATGGTTATTTCACCAGTGATGTGTCATTACATCTGTGAATTGTCATGTCAATTTGACTAAATAAATGTACAATTTGAATACAAATATCATATATTTAATAAGAATTTTCATTTCATCTGCGAATTATCATGTCAATTTGACTACGAAAATGTACATTTTTATTACAAATTTAAGACATTTAATAAGAAATTCCATTTCACTAGTGAATTTTCATTTCATCTGTGAATTGTCATGGAAATTTGACTACACAAATATACACTTTGACCTTTTTAAACATCTAATAAGAATTGTCATTTCACCGGTGAATTTTCATATGCGAATTTCATATTTCATATGCGAATTATTATGTCAATTTTGACTAAGAAAATGTACATTTTGACTACGAATTTCATTCATCTAATAAGAATTGTCATTTCACCAGTGAATTGACATTTCACTAGTAAATTGGCATTTCACTAGTTAAGTGTTATGTCACATTGACTACGAAAATATACACATTGACTATGAATTTCAGTCAATACTAATTGTCATTTCACTAGTGAATTGTCATATCACCAGGAATTCAACAATTTGACAATAATGCAATACTATTTTCCTATAAATATTGTATATTAACTCATTCTGAAATCATCCTTCTTCCAAATAATTTGCATTTAAGGATGATTCATATGATTTAAAATAGCATGAAGCCACAAGGATGTACTGATGAACAAATCAAGTTAAGGGCATTTCACTTTTCTTTGGCAAATAGAGCAAAATATTGGTTGCTTTATCTTCAATTGAGATTGTGAACACATGGGACGATATGGAAAGTGTTTTCTTAGTTAAACTATATCGTGCCACAAGAGTGTCAAGTCATCTAAATGAAAATTATGTGATTTGCCAAGGTCAAAACAAAACTCTTCATGATTATTAGGAATGGTTTAATAGGCTATGTTTGAGTTGTACACAAATCCAAATTCCCAAACAAATCTTTATCAAAAACTTCTATGAAGGCTTGTTACCCTTGGAAAGGAGGCTAGTGGATGCTTCAATTTGTGGCGACATATTTTTCAAAACACCACAACAAACTAGATAACTTCTTAATACCATGGAAACCAATTCCCATCACTTTAGACCTTGTCATGGCATGAAAACAGATACACACTATAATGTTAATGGAGTGAACACATCCAATATTGAGTCCAAGCTTGTGCATTTGACCATTTTTGTTCAAAAGTTAGCAATATGGAGTGGTCAACAAGTAATGATATATGATCTTTATGCTACAATGGGTCACCAACCATACTGGTATTTGTCCCATATTACATGATGATGCGGAAAATGTGAATAACACGGGAGGATATCAATGTCAACACAACAATCAATCGGAATATCAAGTGGCTTATAATTCGAGTTGGATACCAAATCCCAACTGATGGGTTTTTCTGCAATCTGTACACACTAGTTAAGCAGCAAAAGCATAAAAATAACCCTTTACGTACATGCAACCTAATAGATCTAGGTTTATTTTATTATATCAATCTAATTTGTAAAATAATAAATTTACTAACCTCTTTAGGAACTTAATCTTCGAGTTGATTCCTTGATAAGGATCTTGTAACAACCACTTTTTCTTGGAGGAGAGGACCCATAGTAAGAATCCCTCTAATGATATCACACTCAAGACACCAAAGAGAGAATAAAAAGAAAACTAGGAGAAGGACAAATTTCTACAAACCCTAATAAGGGTTAAGAAATTTCGTCCCATAGAAAGGAGCAGAGGAGTGGTGAAAATTCCATGTCAATAAGCAAGGAGGGTTTAATTCCTAGCACCCTATTTATAGGCCATAGATCTTTACCCCAATTTGATCTCCAATACCATGTGGGATGGATGCAATTTTTGAAAATTCTTATCCATTAAGGGATTCTGGAATATTCCAATTAGTTAACATTTAACTTATTAATATTCAAACCTTAGAATTACTTAGTTCCTAGCTAATTTCCAAAATAATTTCTAATTAACTTATCAAACCATGACAAATTAATAAACTAATTATTTTCCTTAATTCCCTTAATTTCTCAATTGGGTCAAGAGGGCAACCCAAAAGGACCATGTTATTATTAAAAATATTATCAATAGTCAGTGACATTGTAAACTTTTTCCAACAATTACCAACCCCAACAACCTCATTAATCTCAACCTAGTAGTTTCAAAATATCTATTGGGGAAACTTTGATGTATTTTGCTACAAGCACCCCAAAAAATTCGAAAAATAAACAAGAACTAGTATCTCCTATCTTGAATCTCAAATGGGAGATATAGTCTACTCATTAAGAAAGTTGGAATCTTGCGGTAAACTTTCATCGCAATGCAAAAGTAGTCCTAAAAATTTAATGTTGTCACATTGAGGAGTGGGAAAGAATCAGGATAAAGTTACACCAAGAAGACTACTAGAAAAGAAGATGAAAAGATGAAGTCATTCTAAGTCAATAATCGATTGTTAAGAGTAGTTTTGAAGCCGAAATCTCAAAGAAAACCACACCTTTGGTTATTCCACCACCTTTTCCATTACCCATTGTGTTCTCTAAGAAGAAGGATAAAGAAAATGAAATCATGAACACCTTTTGGAATGTTGAGGTAAACATCTCATTGTTAGATACAATCTAGAAAATCTTGCTAAGTTTTTAAAGGAAGTTTGGAGTAACAAAAGAAAACTACAAGAAAATGAGAAATTTTCAATGAGTGAAAATATATTTGCGGTTTTACAAAGACAATTACCACCAAAATGCAAAGATTTGGGAATGTTAACGATTCCATGCAAAGTAGGGGATTTTACTATAAACAGTGTCATGCTTGATTTTGGTGCTTCATTTAATGTCATTCCCTACTTGCTATATGAATCATTAAATGTTGGCCCTTTAAATGAAATGGGTGTTATTATTCATTTTAAAGCTACTTTTAAATTTATTTCAATAGTTTGTTAAGGGAAAAATCAACTTTCCTTTGCTTTCTCTTAGTTCTTGGAAAAAAAATTATTGGTAGAATTAATTATTTTCAATATCCTTACAAGAAACAAGCCATGGTCAATGACAACACACTATTAAAGCAAGTTGATCTTTTATATAACTTTATTCATTTAGAACATATGAAATTATCTAGACAAATAAATGTGGTTTTGTTGAAGAAAAAAGTTATATGGGACAAGACAACCAAGGAAGCCTA